TGCGTGTGTCTGCCGCGTCCTACACAGCTTTACTCAGAGGGGACCGTGGACGTCAATGTAAAACACGGAACCGTCCAACTTCCAGAAGAAAACACAGATGCCTGTGTCTCGGGCTGAACCAGGAGTTGAGATACAATGCCAAAAGCACCATCTATAAGATAAAAAAGGATAAAATAGACTGCATCGAAACACAGAACTTTTGCTCTGTGAAAAAATAGCATAAAAGAAGAAAAGTAGAAGCCTTCGAATGGGAGAAAAACATTTGCAAATTTGTATCTGACAAGAAACTCACATTCACATGATACAAAGAATTCTCACACGCGACAGTGACACACACAATTCAACTAAAGCACTCGGTGAAGAAACGGAAGACTTTCCCAAAGATACCAGGCGGCCAGTGAGCCCGCGAACCGGAGCCACGGCGCACGTGTCAGTACGGCCAGAAAGCACGCACAGGGAGGGGCCCGTCTGCCAGTGCGGGTGGCGGGAACGCACCACGGGACAGCCCCCTGCGCGAGTTTGGCAGCTTCTTCTAAGACCGAGCCGACACTCAGCAACACCCCGCGGTCCTGCCCCGAGCTGTGTCGCACCCACAGGACACAGGCCTAGGTTCACACACACACAAGGCCGCATACAAACGGGCACGGCAGCTGCACTCCGAAGTGAACAATCCAAGTGTCCTTCAAAGAGTGAACAAACGAACCGGGGAACATTCACACCCCGGGATACGGCTGAGCAACAAAGGACAAGACTACTGGGAAACAGCACAGCGCAGACGCTCAGCGACAGAAGCTCCATCCAGATTTCATTCTGGAAAAGGCAAAACCACAGAGGCAGGGAGCAAAGGTTCAGGGAGGGCGGCGGGAGTGGTTTCCGGACCACGGTGGTGGTCGCACAACAGAACTTGAAACAAAACACAGCGAGTTTTACTGAATTAAATAAGGCTAAAAAAAATACTGACATAATCTAGTGATTAAAATAAAAAAAAAAATAAAATAAATAAAAACCTACAAATACGTAAACGGAAGAAAGAGGAGGGCACACTATTAACAGCAGGCGGCCAACTGCTAAGAGCAGAAGGAACAACGGAGCTGGATGACCTACGTGCGGCCTTGAAGGTGAAAACGGACTGTGGAAAGATGGCAGAATTAGGGGCTGAAAGTTTAATGAGATACAGGATATTTACATGGTCTCAAAGTATCTTCCCCAAATTCCTCATTATTTACCAAAGGAAAAAGAAGAACCTTCCACTGCAAAAGCCTGGTGGACACTGTCCTCACCAAGTGGTTGTGTCACCATCTGCAGCACCACAGCCTGCATGACCTCCCGACACGGCAGTGAGCCGGGCACAGGCCACCTCTGCGGCCCGCCTCTCAACACTCCCCGGCCCACATCAGCTAAGCTGCTCTCCAAGGACATTCTTCACAACAGCCAGCCTCAACTAAAAACGGTGAAGGTCATGAAAGTGAGGACCCAGCAGGGCGCCTGGGGGGCTCAGTCGGTTAAGCGTCCGACTCTGGCTCAGGTCATGATCTCACAGCTAGTTTGTGAGTTCAAACCCCACATCAGGCTCTGTGCTGAGAGCTCAGAGCCCGGAGCTGTTTCGGATTCTGTGTCTCCCTCTCTCTCTGCCCCTGCCCTACTCATGCTCTGTCTCTCTCTGCTTCAAAAATAAACAAACAGTAAAAAAATAAAATAAAATAAAAAAGACGACGAGCCAGCCCAGATTAAAGATGACATGACATGACATTGATGAAGGCATGACAATCAAGCGCTGTCAATGACCCAAGCCTAGGGTAAAACCACCACGGCTGGCCCTTACACACCTCGGGTTTGAACTGTGCAGACTGCTGGCGACACGGTACAGTGCTGAGACCGTGTTCTTTTCTTCCGCAGTGGCCTGCCCTACTGTAAGAACACAACACGTAAAACCCGTACCATACAGAACACGTTAATCGACGACTTATATTATCTATGAGGCTTCCAGTCAACAATGAGGTCTCAGTAACTAAGTTTTGGGGGAAGTCAAAAGCTATCCGTGGATTTTCCACTGGGGGGGGGGGGGGCGGATGGTGCCCCTGCACTGTTTAAGAGTCCACTGCATAAAGGACACTATCAGGACAAGAGGCAAAAACTGCACGCGAGCCGTGACTCAGTTGTAGTACTGACGTGACCTGTACTGTGTTAGGTAAGGGGACACTGTCCCTACTAGATGCTGACTATTCAGGATAAAAGTGCATGACCTGGTGTGTGCACCTGCCTGTCACCCACTTCGAGGGGAAATGTGTGTGTGCACACGCATGAGAGTGCGAAGACGACACAGAGGGGCAAAAGGTGCACATCCGGGGAGGGGTCCAGGGAAAGGACATAAAGGGAGTTAAGGGGCGCCTGGGGGCTCAGTCGGTTAAGCGACCGACTTTGGCTCAGGTCATGATCTCGCAGTTCGTGGGTTCAAGCCCCGCGTCGGGCTCTGTGCTGACAGCTCAGAGCCTGGAGCCTGTTTCAGAGTCTGTGCCTCCCTCTCTCTCTGACCCTCCCCTGCTCACGCTGTGTCTCTCTCTGTCTCTCTCTCAGAACTAAATAAAACATTAAAAAAATGTTTTTGTTAAAAACTGTTTTTGCAATTTCCACCTATGTTTGAAACTGTAGCAAAAATTAAAAAAAAAAATTCTTTAAGAACATGTCACCACAAACACAAAGGTGCTTTCAGGACCAGGGGCCGCCCCCCCCCCCACCCCCGCCCCGGGGTAGCCTGCCGTCTGCTTTCAGGTTCCTGGTGCCGCTGACTAACGCTGAGCGGCTCAGTTCCCAAACAACTAACACCACTCGGTTTGCTGTCCGTGGACACCGTGGGGCGCCTACGGTCCTCATGGCTCCAGACTGTCTCCCTTCAGCGTTTCTTCCAGCTGCAGAAAATACCAAGTAACCACCTGCTTAAATCTTTTTTTCTCTTGTTCTGCTTTGCACTGTTCTTAAAAATACAGATAGAAGACACGAGAAAGAACCAACATGTAAAACATGGCACACGAGGAATCCTGAGCACACATTCAACAGGACGGTATTGGATGGCATGCATGCTAACGCTATCGGTGCGTTACAGTCAACACACAAAAAATAATAATGCATTAAGATCTGCGTTGTCATTTACTCATGCAACTTAATTTTATCATCTTATATGCAGGAAGACTTTTTAATTTTTTTTTTAAATAAGGAATGGGCTCTGGACAAAAATGCTGAAGAGCAAATAGTAAATTGAAGGTTAAAATATCTGGATGAAGGAAAGTCTGGGATGAGGCTACATTTGAGAACCATCGAAAAGTACCTGAAACGGTTGCTGCTGGGATGAAAAAGCAGCAGAAACATTTGGCGGAAGCTGGGTTGCTATAGCAACGGGAGTACCAGTCTGCCCATCCTTTCCTGTCACAACCTTTACCTGAGAGGAAATATTTTGAGAAAAAAAGGCAACATAATTTTTAAGACCGCTCAAAATTTTGTCAGAATTTTACTGCTGATAGCTCAGTGATGTCTGGTGTTTAGAAACGGAATGCTTTTGCATTAAGTCCTATAAAAGGACACCGCACTGACTCATGGTGGATTCACAGCACGGTGACCTGACTCAGCCGTGCGTCCCGCAGAAGTCCCATCCGAGCACAGTGCGGCACCTGTACCCTCTGCAGCTCCGAACCGTCCGCGGGGAAGCGGCAGGCAGTGTCCGGATGGCAGAGCCCAGAGACCCTCACAGGCCACCCGCACGGCAGCCACCCCACTGGCTACTGCGCCTGTCCCAGCACGAAGGTGCACAAAGGGAGTCCTGTTTCCTCATGAGCACAGATACGGGGGCTGACCCTACAGACAGCGTTTGCGTACAAACAGAGAGAGAACTGAACTTCACTATTTCATGGCAACAGAGGTGAAATCCTCAAAATAATCATATAAACCTTTTGGAAAATAAAAATGGTCCTTTCTGGAAAGGGTGTTAAAGAAAACACAAAATGGCAAAGCCACACAGATACGTCCATAAATCTCAATGAGGACGGCAGAGCAAAGAGACCAGCTTTTGCTCAGCAAAGGCTGATTTCTTTGCAGGAAAAGAGCTGACAATGAGTTAAATTACTTGAGCTGTGTCATAAAACAAAACAAGCCCCGCCGACATGCTGTACACTACACGACAGAGAAGCACAGATACAGTGCGTGACAGTGTCCCTCACGCCTGCCCTCTTCTCATTAGCTTCTTTTTCAGGAGGCACAAGTAAACGGATCTTTGGAATCACTATGGGACTGAAAAATCTCAACTGGCGGAGTTGTTAAGCACCATTCCAGGCACCCAAAAATTTCACTATCTAAAAGAGATTCCACTTTAAATACCACTCAGTAAATAGGAATTTGCACACATGTGAGTTTAATATCTCAAATTGAAGACTACATCTAAAAATTGAAAAATTCTCATAGTTTTTTGCTGTAACAACTGTACTTTAATCATGAAGGCACCATACAAATATACGGAGTGACTTAAAATCATGACTGGTATATCATAAAAACCTCGTCACTCAAATCCCTTCTTTAGAAACCACACGTGCAGTGTTTTTAACAGGTAGACCAGTATGAGTAAAATGCAAAACCTGAACACCAGCCGGAAGGTGGCCACACCTCTGGCCTCAGTGCTGGCCAAGCCCCACGCCGCCAGCCACCCGTGGGGGAAGACTGAGTGGTGCCGGTTAGCCCTCGGGAAGCTGGACGGCCTTTCTGTGCACACAAGTGCTCGGTTCTGGAGCAGCACTGCTCACAGGGCCGCCCTGCATCCTCCCGCCAACACGCAGAGCTGCTCTCCCCACCCAGGCAGGAGACGGAGCACGTACGCCTCCGGGTCTCCTCCTGGCTCACATCCTAACGAGACCCCACCCTGGAAGCACCCCCGGCTCATAGGTTCTGTTTTATTTACAGTTACCTAGACTCAAATCTGCGTCGCGAGGTCCTCTAATTATTAAACTCCTGTTTCTCACCTCATCATTGATAACCTCAGACTTTTCTTCCTCCTCCTCCTCCTCCTCCTCCTCCTCCTCCTCCTCCAGGTCCAAATCATTCTGCCTAAGGTAAGCTTGCAACGGAGCATAATGCTTCTTCTTAAAAGCCAAGAAATCCATCATGTTCCCTTGGAGGTGTTGCAGGAAGAACAACTCGATCAAGTACTCCTTGAAGGCCTCCCTCAGCGCCTCCATCTCTCTGTAGTGATAGTCCAGGCACTGCTTCCTCATCTGGGCCAGCTCCTGAGAGGCAGGGGGTATCTCCTCCAACTTCTTGGGAGCCTTCCTCACCCCCGCGTTCCCCGCAGATGTGAGAGGAAGGCTGGAGAGGCCCGGGGCCCCCGCGGTCCTGGAAGGGCTGGTCGGGGGCGGCGGGGACGTCATCCCAAAGGCCGAAGTCCCCCCGACCCCGACCCCGGAGAGCAGGGGTCTGGTGAGTGGCGGCCCCTGCAGCACCTGCTGCTGCTGGATCAGCTGCCCCTGAATGATGCTGCTGATCTGGGGGGGCAGGCTCGCCGTGGTGATGTGGCCGGGGCTGGCCAGGGGCTGCAGGCTGGCTGCACCCGCGGCCGCAGGGCTCTGCGGTCCCAGGTGGTGGACGGTGCCCCCAGACTGCGCGTGGGGCTGGGACAGTCTCCGTTCCCGGACCGCGATGGGAGCCCCCGCGTGCTGCAGCTGCACCTGGGGGCCTGGAGCCATCTGGGCAAGGCCCGAGCTCTCCTGAAACACAAAGTGCCCGCCGCCGGACGGGCTCAGGCTCATCTGCCTCACCAGCACGCTGGCGTCCACGAAGCCCCCAGTGGGACTGCTGCTACAAAGGCCCAGGCCGGGGCCGGGGGTGGCCGCCCGCACACTCTGCAGGCCCGGCCCGGGTCCAGGACTGGGCTGGGTGGGGCTCTGAGTCTGCACCTGTTGCGACAGCGGCGAAGTGACCTGGATGTATGACGGAGAGCCATGCTCAAACCGCCTCTGCTGGGCGCTGAACTGGAAACCTGGAGAAGTGGGGCTCGGGAGCGGCAGAGGGGCCAGCGTGATCTGTGGGTTTCCTCCCACCACTGGGCCGACGCTCTGAAGGGCGATGTTCACATTCTGCCCGGTCACGGGACTCCTGTTCATTAGCTGCTGAACTTGGTAGCCAGGAGACTGAGGCGCGGACGGGCTGGCCGACGGCGCGAAGGGCGTGGCAGGGGACTGTGGTGGGTTTGGGTGGGCCTGCTGCTCTTCTCCGTCGCTGCTGGGGAAGGCCCTGGGCCTCTGCAGCTGGTGCTGGACGCCCTGAGGGCCGCTGCCATGGTGCATTATCGCCCTCCTTTTTAATCCCACTTAATGTTCTCCTGAAAAAAATCAAAGTTAAAATCAAGTTACTTGAAGACAAATGTAACCATCTGATCACCACTTACTACGAACACCATTAAGTAGCACCGGAAAGCTGTGCGGACAGCATGCTCCCACTGGCATCTGATGCAAATGAATCTTAGAAATTCTTCTCGAGCCACCCAAAAGACGGCACTGGAGACGAGGTCCCTCAGCACAGACAAGAATAGGTCCTTCCGGGTCACTGCTGTGGCCGGGGCCAGGGCGCAGCCTGGCTGCAGGTGGGTGATCACCCAGCTACTATGGAAGGGAAACAGCCTCACTAGCTCAAGGCCAAACAGGAACTGAACTCGGCACTGGCGACCACTACTTTTCTTCCCAGAAACTTTCTCCTGGCCCAGCGGCCTCCTCTGTTCCCACACACGGTGGAGGGACAGCGCCCTCCTCGCCAGAGGCAGTGACTGCTGCCGAGAGCAGGCGCGGGCTGCGCGCTGCCATCACCCTGTAACCAGAGCGGGACACCCCACCGACCCCCACCAACTTCTGGGTGACGTCAACTGCCAGCACACAGAGCACCCGTTACGTATCAGATGTACGGACACTTTCTTCTAAGCTCCTAAAAGAGAGGGTCCAGGCCTGGGGGCCAGAGCCTCGCCTCGGAGCCGTTGCAGGAGCCAGAACAAAACAGGGAGATGCCTCACACCTCAGGGAGAGAAAGGGAAGGGCTGGCGCTCGGGCCCTTGCTTGGGGGAAGAGTCTCCCTCAGCTCTGCAGACTGAGGCTGGGACTGCGGCTTCAAAGGGGCTCCCGCCCAAAAACTGCTTCGTGCACAGGGCTGGGGAGAGGCTGGGGGAGTGGAAGACACCTGCTGGGGGTCGGCTCGCAGGACAGGGCTGAGCAGATGGTGGCAGTTCTGAGGTGGGACCCCAGAGTGCTCCCAAGTCAGACCCGGCCACAGCGTGCACGTCTGCGAGGGACAGCGTGCCACCCAGGGCTGTCTGCCCCCGCTGCGGCGGGGTCGCAGCCACAGAAACTCCCAGCACCTGAAATTCCCACCTGGCTCTCTGCTTCTTGGTGTTCTTTCCACCCCCGCCCCCCAAAACGAGCAAGAAGGCTGGCCCTTCCGTCCTCACAGCTTCTCTCACAGAGAGTAGGGATGAGAACATCATAAATCAGAAGTTACAAAGCTGACAAAGCAAAGATACGTACACGGACGGAGTGGCCCACAGCCCCATGCCCTGGCTGCAGCAGCCGGATGTATGGAATCAGGAGCCACCGAGTGCGCGGGCACACGGGGCAAGGCTGAGGAAGCTGAAAACCAGTGCCCCTTGAAACAGAGGAAGAGGCACTTTCTGCCTGCAGGCGGCTCTGTAGACACGGCCCACACAGGGCAGGCAAGTGGCAGCGTCCGTCTGAGCAGGAAATCGGGGTCACGGGGAGGAACTGCCTCCGCGAGCAGCTCGCTGGCACTCCGGCCCTCACCCCCGAGCGGGCGCCCCGCAGAGGGGCCTCAGAACGAGCCTCTGCACCCAGTCCTCATAAAGACGCGTCACAGGACCACTGTGGAAATGGCTCAAACAGAGAACTACAGGATGAACACACACAGGGGCACAGTTATGGTTATTTCCGTAGAACATGTTCCCAGAGTGAGCAGGAAGAGCGAACAAAGGCCAGAAACAGACTCTCTCACATCTGACAATTCACAAAACCAGAGGAAGCTAAGAGTTAGGGTGAAGAGGTCACTGCCATGTGGCAAAAAATCGTATTTAAATTCTCACTACAAATCATTCAGCAAAATAAATGAAGCACTTTATAGGCTAACATTCCGAGTTTTATACCAAACGTAGAAAAATCAAATTGGAAATATGTAAAGAACACAAAAGTGAATACTTACTAAAGCTCTGAAGGGAATTCAAGTCCCTAAACTTAACGCAGTAAAGTTGTATCTGAAAAGACACATGGATTTGAAGACACACAATTTAAAAACGTTTAAAACTCTAAAGTAAATCATCGAAATCATGAATATTTGGGGAAATTACAACAAAGACTATGACCAGTACCATAGAAAGCACTCATACAAACTGAAAATCACTCCAAGCCCATAGAAAAATGAAACCAGGATGAGACAGTTCACAAAAGAAAAACATCTACTTAATCAGCTAGAAGGAAACCTCCAACCTCACTACTAATAAACGCAACATGGACTGTAGTATCTCCCAGATCCACTAGGCCAAGACGCGAAATCACACCGCAGGCACCCGCCCAAGCCGCTCAGGGGTGTGGGAGGCAGGTGAGGACACGGAGTAGAGGTCTCCAAGGGCTCAGAGCCCAGAACATACCTGACGGGGTAGGCGATAGTGCTGGGAAAGCAGAACAACCCATCTGACCCCGTTACCTTTGACCTAGTAATACTATCTCTGGAAATCTCTCCTGAGAAAATGGACCTGTTTTTTTAAATTGCGCATAAAAATGTTTGTTGCAATACAACACAGTGTAAAAAAAAAAAAAAAAAGTAACCAGAAAAATCCGGTGTCCAAGTTCTAGATGGAGACTGTAATAAAAATGAAAAATGTTCAGACGTGTTAAGTGAAAGGAGTGGGACACTGACATGTAGCATGACCACCACTCTGCTGAAGGAGTAAATTCCATAGCGAGTCAGGGAAACACATCAAACACAAATACTGACCTTCACCTGGCGAAGGCACACAGCGCTGGAGCAGCCACACGTGGAGCCTCAGCCACGCAGGGACCAAGCTACTGACATGCCCACCCCACGATGAATCCAGAGATGCTGAGGAGCGGCCAGAGGATCACGTACCACAGGTCACTGACATGACGTGATATCCTGGAACAGGCAAACCACAGGGACAGAGGTTAGACAGACCCCAAGGGCTAAAGGTGAGGCAGGAGCTGACCTGGGAGAAGCAGGAGAGAATGTGGGGGTGTGGATCCATTTCTCCACTTAATTTGTGAGGATGGTCACAAATGTTTGTCCAGGGGCGCCTGGGTGCTCAGTCAGTGAGCGTCACACTTCGGCTCAGGTCATGATCTCGTGGTCTGTAAGTTCAAGTCGCACATCAGACTTTATGCTGACAGCTCAGAGCCTGGAACCTGCTTCCGATTCTGGGTGTCCTCTCTCTGCCCCTCCCCCATGTTCTGCATGTCTCTCTCTCTCAAAAATAAACTTAAAAAATTTTTTTAGAAGTTTGTCCAAAGTCACAGAGCCCACACGCTAAAGTGTGAACTTTACTATGCATAAATTAAATCTCAACTTTTTAAAAAAGTGAATCCTGACTTCAGTGAGCTTATGGTCAAGTTAGAGAAATCAAGCCAACCAACCACGACGTAAAGAAACTGCTTATCTGAAGCAGCTTTCCCCCAAAATGTGAACAGTTACCCCGATGGAGAGCAAAGCTACCACCAATGACAAAACAGCATTTTACTTTTTTTATGGTGGCTGTATCTGCTTTCAAGGTCCGTCAGCAAGAGCTGGAGCCAACCCTGAAGCTCGTGGCCCCATGTGGGCACTGCTCGGGAGGGGGTCAAGTTCAGTGGCACCAGGCTAGAGCATGGGTGAGAGCCCTCAGATCGCTGCATGCAACACTCACCGTGCCACGGGCAGGACAGTGCCAGCCGCAGGCCCGTTCGTGCCTGCTGCTGCTCTGTCAGGGTGACAACGACATCATAAAGGGGCACATCTGACTGCCAGGAAGATGCCACTCTAAGGAATACTGCCTGGGCCTGGTTCTCAGTGGGGGGGGGGGGGGGGGCCGGGCCAGGCTCAGAGCCCTTAAGAGGGTGGGTGGAGGGCCCGGGAGACTGGGCACTTACAGCAGTTGCTCCAAGCTGGCTCCCCACTGCCCACCCTCCATTCCCAGCTTCCCATCCGGGATCAGCCAGAGTCCCAGCGGCTAGGGATCAGGACGTCTCTTCTTCCCCTTCAACAGGTTGGAAGCTCGAGCCATGAGCCTTGCTGCCTTCCCAAACCCACATCCCTCCCTGCCCCCACATTTCCCCAGATCAAGACGGAGCCATCTCCCGCTTTGGGTAGCTCTGCGGTGTTACTGTATGAAGGGGTCATGGTGCCCCCTCCCCTGGCCCGGCCAAAGCAGGGCCAGGCACTGTTCATCACGAAAGTATTTCTCGGCATCCACGGCACGTCCGTGTCCCGCACACAGAGCATGCGCCAACGAGCCCCGAACAGGCTGTGAGAACACACAGAGTGGCAGACACAGTGGTGTCAGAAGACAGTCCGGCTGCTAAAAATAAGGACCAGTCCAAGACCCCAAGTGCAAAAACCAGAGTCCAGACGTGGCCCTTGAAATCCATCAAAACACGGAGTGTCGCTATGAGGCTGCTTACAAGTAATGAGCTACATGTCTCACTCACCCCCAGTCCTTACTTACGAGAGGAGATTTCCTATTACAAAAAACAAAAAAACAGTAAAACAAGGTACAACTCCAAGAGAAGATTTGAAGCTGAATTTTTCAAGCTCATTAACCTGTAAATCATTGCTCCTAGTCAAAGAACTGCAATTAAAATTGGGATGAAGTATCATTTCTCATCCACCAGACCGAACAGTTCAGAAGCCAGGCGGCGAGCCCCATTAGGGAGGCCGTGGGGGGCTGGTGTCGCCACACAGACCTGCGTGTGCCTGTGCACACGCTGCACTCTGAGTCTCCACCTCCAGTACAAAAACGTGTCCGCACAGTTTTATTTGTAAACGCAAAACATCAGGAACAAACTACACGTCCATCTGTATTTCAGAGACGGGCCGAATCCACCATCCATCGGGCCCTCCATTCAGGGCGGCACCATGAGGCGTACAAATAAAGGAGAAAGCTCTCGTGCGCTCATGCAGAGCTAACACAGAGTCACATAAGCCAAGTGCAGACCATACATGAGACACTACCCTTGCCTAAGAGGAAAAGACACAAACATATAAACACACATCCTGCCCGCATGGTCTTCTACAAAAAAAACAAACAAAACAAAACAAAACAAAAAAACCTATACGTACATATCTGTACATACCTAATTTTTTCTTAAAATCCTATTTCCTAGTCACGTTCACTGCCAACAGTCTACAAGCACTGATGTCCCATAAGTATCTGCTTATGCAAAAAAGGGACTCATGAAGAATAAGCCAGAAATGAAGGAGGCTAGGCAGTGACAGGCAGTGGAGAAAGTGACACTCCTACGTACACCATCTTGTATCACTTTGATTCTCAGAATCATGTGAAAGAGTCACGTATTCAAAAACCAAAATGAAATCAACAAAGACGAAGAACTCCCTAAAAGCCGACACAAACAGAAACAATGGAACTCTAGGAAAGACAACGTGGTCACCAGTGGAAAGGGGAAGGGAGGACAATGGGACAACTCGGTGCTGCTGGAGGAGAACCAGGGGTCAGTGTAACTCCGGGCTTTTCTCCTTAAAACACACCTAGCTCTGCTACTGCAACGGCCCACAAGCAAGGACGCCGTGGCGGGACACAGGACCCTGGGGACAGCAGGGCGGGACCGGAGGAGCAGGCGGCGGCCTCCACGGAGGACTAAGGGCACACAGGCTAGGAGATTTTAGGACAGGGGCTCCCGGCTGCTTTAACCTTATCCATCTCTGAAAGAGTAATCAGACCTTCACTTAACGCTATTTGAATTTCAAGCTAAAATTAATGTTGAGACTAAAAACAAATCAAGGGAATAAAGATGAAGATTCTCCTTTCAACTCAGCCTCTCTACATACAGAGAAGCTGATGCACACGCAACCCCACTCCTGAACACCAGCACCTCAGTCCTGCCCGGCTGCCCCAGGGCTCTCGATCCCGCCCTGGGGGAGCCGAGCAGCCACAAGCAGGTTAAGAAAGACCATGGTGGGGGCGCCTGGGTGGCTCAGGGGGTTAAGAATCTGACTCTTGATCTAGGCTCAGCATAATCTCACGGTTCATGAGTTCCAGCCCTGAGTCGGGCTCTGTGCTGACACCGTGAGCCTGCTTGGGATTCTCTCTCTCTGTCCCTCCCCAACTCGCTCCTACGTGCATTCTCTCTCTCTCTCTCTCTCAAATAAACATGAAAAAAATGATTAAAGGGGAAAAAAGACCAGGGTGAAAAAGACGCTAGGGCTCCGGGGGAGCGGTGCCCCCACAGCCCAGGCCTGCCTGCGGCCGGAGCTCCTTCGGTGTGGGGCCAGATGGGTTCTGAGGCCTGAGATCCAGGCACCACCTCATTTCGGTTCTGTGAGGAAGCAGCTTAAGGAGAGCCAGGGCCAGAGCAGAGATCAGACCCGAACCCACAGCAGTGGCAGCTACGCCACAAGGACCTTCCCCCCAAACACCCATTTGCAGCCACATGAAACCTCCCTCTTCTTCCGAGAAAGCACTGCCTGCTGTGCTCCAGAACTTCCTTCTGCAGAGAGTGCTCCCTGCCCTCTCCTTCCTGGTAAACCTGCACTCAAGTGCTTTCTAGAAGGCATCTCACACTTCCCTAAGTAACCCGATAAACACGAGAAAATGGGGGGGGGCCTGGGGGGCTCAGCTGGTTGAGCATCTGACTTTAGCTCAGGTCATGATCTCTCAGTCCATGTGCTCGAGTCCCGTGTCAGACTGTGCTGACAGCTCAGAGCCTGGAGCCTGCCTTGGTTTCTCTCTCCCTCTCTCTCTGCCCCTACCCAGCTCTTGCGCACATGCTCTCTCTCAAAATAAATAAATTTTAGAAAAGAAATGGGGAAACCATTTAGGTATTGTTAACAAAAACGTAAGTATATGAACACATTTAAAAATGGTTTTTCTTGGGGCGCCTGGGTGGCTTAGTTGGTTAAGCGTCCGACTTTCGCTTAGGTCATGATCTCGCGGTTCGTGGGTTCGAGCCCTGCGTCGGGCTCTGTGCTGACTGCCAGCTCAGAGCCCGAAGCTGTTTCGGTCTGTGACTCCCTCTCTCTCTGACCCTCCCCTGCTCACGCTGTCTCTCTCTCTCTCTCCTAGAAATAAATAAAATATTTAAAAAAAAAAAATGGTTTTTCTTTTTTCCCTACGGTGCAAAGACCATTTTTCCAAGTCAATAAACTCACTTCTATAATATCCACAGCCCTCCTATATAAAATAAAAAGGTAGAAAATAGGGGTGCCTGAGTGGCTCAGTCAGTTAAGTGGTCCGACTCTGGCTCATGATCTCACAGCTCTGAGTCAAACCCTGCGTCGGGCTCTGTGCTGACAGCTGGGAGCCTGGAGCCTGTTTCAGATTCTGTCTGTCTGTCTCCCTCTGCTCCTCCCCTGCTCACACTGTCTATCTCTTAAAAATAAACATTAAAAAAAAATGGAACAAGTAACCCTAAGGGAGCTAAAAAGAGAGGAGAGGCTCTAACATACTAAAGACACTGCTTTCACTTCCCTTGAAATGCTTCCCAAAACTTTAAAAAGCAGATGGATGGATGGATGAGTGATGAAGCTCGCACAGAAAAACGTTAATAGAAACGAGGTCATGAGTACGTAGGTAGTTTACTGCAAAATCCTCTCAACCCGTGTGTTTCTTTGACATTTTTCATAGTAAAATATTACAGAAAAAAAATCAAAGGCTGTAAACCAGAGTCCCAGACACTGACAAAATATTCACGCTTTTCCTACCTCAGAGCAGATTATGAAGGCTCCATACTCATTCCTAAAATATGTGAATTCCAAATGACCTAAACTGGGCTAAACTGAGGTTTTAAAACAACGTGGGAGTCCCTGTGTCATGTGCCGTGTGGCAGGGCCACAGTGCAGAAACAGGGACTGAGGCCTCCATGTCCCTCCTAACTTCCTGGGCTAGGATGCCAAGGGCCTCCAGTCACGGCAGGCGGGGCAGGTCCTTA